ATGCAATGGGAGGGCTGACATTGAATGGCAACACAGCAAACATACACTGGCAGCCCACCCAATCCCAAGTGTCCAAATCACTAACTCCAAATGAGTCTTAACAACCAACTGGTTGATTCTGTACTATATATTAACAGGCAGGATTTAATCTTGTAAAATTATGAGCTGATCGGGGAAAAAAGATGAGGTAGCAGTTCTCAGGATAAAAACTTAGTCTGTGATTCATCCGATGGAGCTGCACTGACATTACACCAACAGACACATTGCCTTGGGAGAATCCATAGTGCCTCTGGAGCTAGTCCTTTGCACATGCACAGCTCCTGCCAGACTAGTCACAAAGCTCCAGCAGTTCCAACCTGGAATTTTTTTTAAGGATATAGTTCAATAGAACACACTGTAAGCACTGCCCTGTTAATAAACCACAAACAGCATGTCTTTGTGTGGGATAGCTGAAGGAAAACTTTATGGATTTGTCTTACATTCCCTCTGCCATCACCTCTGGGCAGATGAACCCAACCCTCTTCTAACAGGCAGACCTGTAAATGCAGTCCAGCACCTGAAAATCACACCAGGGCCCTTCCAGCTCTCACATCAACAGAATAAAAATAGTGCAGGTGACAAAGCAGCTTTGCTGCTGCTGCTGCACAGCTGGCACAGACCCTGCTCTCTCCCCACTGCACGGCTGCCTTGTGTGAGAAACACTAACTGAGCAAACACAGCAGAGGCAAGTCCTGCCTTCACCCTCAAAATGCTGCAATGCTCTCAGCCTTATGAAGCCACCCTGACAGAAGTAGCTCTACTTCCCTGCTTGTTTTAAAGAAACCAATACACCAGCAAACCGGGAGTTTGTGCAAGCCCTTGTGGGAAACTGGCAGCAATGCCTCACTGCAGAGCAAGCAGCCTGATTTCCACATCTGCTCACCAAGGCTCCTCTCAGTCAGCACTGGAAAAACACACAGAAAAGAACAGGGCTTTCCAAAATCACTATCATAAAAATGGGATTTGTTTCTTTCCTTCCTGTTCTTTAAAACAACAAGTTTAAAATCCAGGCCAAGCCCCAGTCTCCACGTGATGGATCAAATGGACAGACAGGGAAAGGAAGCAAGCCCAGTGCCTGTGGCTCACTGCAGGCCCCACCTCTCTGTCCCAAAGCCCTGCAGAGTTAATCCTCACAGTTCTGCCTCTCTTCAACAACACATTCGAGGTCTATCATAAACCAGCATTTTCTTCCCTGAACAGAGCCAAGACTTGTGTAGGAGCTTCTCTGCAGCTTCTCCTTTCCCAGCACAGGAACCACATGGTTACCGGCCACAGACATGCAGGTGTGTAACTACTCCAAGCCTCCCAGGACAGCCAAGATCTCTGCTCCTGCCATATGTTTAATTAATGCTGGGTGTCAGAAGTGATGAGAGGCCTTGCTGCACCCTGCATGGAAGAAAATGTTTCACTTTAGGAAATTTCGCTCACACAGTTAACCATTTCCTCAGCTTGCTCCGACAGCTGCTGCCCTTGGGCAGGGAGGGATGTGCCTGCATTAGCAGTGCCAGCAGCAGCCTGACACACAGAATGGCCTCCCCACCATTCCAGCACCACCCTGGGGGGGTCCCCAGCATATCTCTGGCTAAGAAGTGCAGATTATTGCTGCCTAGAGTTAGACATTTCAAGAATCTGGGGGTTAGATGGAAAAGTCAGGAGACAAGGATGTGTTTGAACAGCATCTTGGACAATAAAGGAGTCTAGTCCAAGAGGATTTGTGGATATTCCTGGAAAACACATAATGGAGATCACATTCACTGTACTCTGCTACCTGCTTGCCCAGCTTTCACCTGCAGCACCCTGCCCAGGCAGGGATGTGCACAGCACCTCACACAGCCCAGCCCAGCCCAGCCAGCTGCATCACACTGCAAAGTGAGAGCCAAGCTCCCCAGCACTCTGAAGGAAAAGCTGGGAGAGGGGAATTTGCTGGAGCTCCTCTCTGCCTCACTGGTTAGTTGGAGAGGAGAGCATGTCACCCCTCAGAGCCATCTCAGTCCTCCCTTGCACCATGAGCCATTTGCAGACAGGTTTTAACCTCGCTGCCCGGGGCTGCAGCCATTCCCAAAGCCAGGTATGCAAGCAAACAGGCTCAGTCCTGGCAAGAGCAAGTGTCACTTGCCCTGCCTGCTCTCCTCCTTCACTTGGCTCAAGAGCAAGTACCAGCACTTGGGCTGTGATGGCAGCACATTCCTTATGCTCCATGCACCCTGGGCATCCCACAGCACATCCAACAGACAAAACAAGTAGGAAAACATAAAATTGCATCTTTAATTTTGAGCAGTCTAACCCTGCCACATTCACCAGTATCTTTGTCTTGAGAGGTGAGCATTGCCTTCCTCATTCCTTCCTTCCCTCTATCTTGCAGCCAAGTCTGCTTTTCTCCCCCACCCTCTCTACCCCCCATTCTTCTTTTACTTCCAGTCTTTCTTGTGCCAGGAAATGCTGAGCACTCTAAAACCCTGCTCCCTCCTCCAAACCAGAGAAATTGTAATAAATGAGTGTAAATTAGCAGGCTTGGCTAGCACTAAGTTTCTCAGGCTTGCAAACAGTAATACATACATGAGTGTTCAGCAAAACAGCTCCACAAAGTCACTCATAACTGAAAGGCAGAGAACTTGCAAGTCATGCCTTGAAACCACAGCCCCAACACTCCCAGCATCCCAGTAAAAACAATTTGGAGCCTGCCCTAAAATCAGTGGCCAGGAGGTTTGTGTTTGTCTAAGATGAGCAAACAAATTACTGGAGAAATGAGAAATAAAAATCAGTGTAGGGACTGGGGCATAACTCATGACACAGCACATCTGTCCACTTGCTACGGAAACTATGTTTGGCAAGTATCAGGTGTCTGAATTTCTGCTTACGTACATCTCCCTGGACAGCAGTGTATTAATAACACAGGCAGCCTAAAAACAGAAACTATCACCAAGAAAAGCTGCCTTCTGCTGAGAGCTCCTTGCTGTAGCCTGGGTATTGTTGTGCTTTCCTCAAACAACACAGAATTTTGCTTCCTTGCTGTTCAGAGTTGCCATCTAAGCTGATCTCAATTGAAGGAAGATGAACAAAACAAGAGGAAGGGAAAGGAAAATTACAGCAGGAAGCAACCCTTATTGTGAGCAGTTTTCTTGAACGTCTTCCCATCAGGGCTCACACTGCTATGTGACTCTGGAGAGCCAGCAGCAGCCAGGGGTTTAGCTTAAAGGCACAAACCTTTCCAAGAGACCTCCAGAAGGCAAAGTCCCTCATGCAGGGGACATGCAGGAGCTCACGCAGCCAGGCAGGACAGCCCTGGCACTGCAAGCAGCACAAAAAGCCACTGAGTCAAACGTGGAAGAAAGCAGCAAGTGGACACAGGGAGAGGCAGAACACTGGGCACAGAGAGGAGCATAGCAACAGAAGCAGAGTGGGAATGAAACCAACTGCATGTTCAAAAGGAGGCCAAGGCTTTGGAATGGGAAGCACAGGAACGGAGATGCTCAGGCTTTGGGGAATGTGGAACTGCACCAGAGAAGTTACTCTGGATAAACTAAGTTTTCCAAAGAGCAGCCTAGGAAGGAGCATTTGTGGCAGCACCACAGAAATGGGCATTTTTGGCTAAGATCAGTATCAGGTTTCTCATGTATTCTCAACCCGTGTTAGAGACGTGAGTCACACCAGTGCAGCCACTCACTCCTCGCTGCCTGGAGAGGCTTTCCTTGCGATGTTTCCCAGGAACCCTTGTGCTGCGGCATGGCCACACAGCTGAGCCGTGCTGCCCCCCGGTGTCAGGAGATTCAGCTGCCAGCAGGAGGAACGCAGCCACATTTCTACTTCATCCTAACTCAACAGCCATCTTTATGTGCCCAACACAAAGTCAGGAACATGGATTTCAAAAGAAAACTGTCTATTCTGGGCAGATGCATTTTGCTTCTTCTCTGCTGCTCTTTGCTGTATGATGTCAAGATAGAAGTCTTTCAGAGCTGCACATGAGATACAGACATGCAATTTCTGCCAGCCATTGTGGTGGCCAGGTATCTCAAACCTCAACTGAGCGTGTATTTCCCAGGAGTTTGGGGTGCAAGCACTGCCTGTTTCACACCAATCAACACACAGAGAAGGAATCCTGCAGATGGACACATCAACACTTCCATTAAAAGGCAAGGACTGTCCGTGAGTACTGGGCTGGTGAAGAGATTCCCCTGGCCTGCCCAAGGTGACAAGCATTTGATATGAAGATGCACTCATCCAAGTGTTTCCTCAAGAAAGGAGAATGATCTAATCTGAGTCACTCAGACAATGTCATTATGATCCCATGATTATTCCAGTGATCAAGCCAGATAGATCAGAATCAACAAGGCAAATGGTTTAGATTAATTTTTCTCTGCCAGGACTTCAACTGAAGTAGACAAGGAATTAGTGCCAGCCACCTACCTAGTTGGTTAATACCACCTGGGCTTTCCTCTAAAATCTTCTGCCAAGCCTGACCAGCCAACAGCATTAGAGTGTTTAAGACAACAAAAGATGAAGGTTAGTATGTTCATAGAACCCAATCTGAGATTTCTACAGATCTCAGACTTGCATTAAAATCCAAATTCTAACTGCACAAACTGCCTGTTCAAGCAGGACTCGGTATCTGCCATCTGCAATGACAAGCTAGTTGGAACAAGAATGGATCTTAATGCATTACAAAAAGCTACACTCAATTCTCTGAACTCGTACTACTGCTGACAAAAACCTGCCTTTGCACTCCTGGTTATTACAATATTTCAATGTGCTTATCAGCCCCTGGAGCAGAAGACACCCTTGGTTTCATGCAAGCTGTGAAACACACACAGTGACAAAGGACACAGAACTGCCAGTAGAACTCAGACTGCTCTGATTATTGGTGCATCTTCTCAAGAGCCTCAACCAGTGCAAATATGTGAGAACTTTCACAAAACACAAACATTCAGTTAAACCACTGAAGAAGAACCACTACCAAGAGCAAAGCAAGTTGAAAAATGGTAATTTTTTTTAATAAGCTGTCATTAATTATAAATTTAAGATACAGTTGCTTGCATTAGCAAACTCTGAATGGACGCCTCACATTTTTTTCCAAACAGTGAGCACTAGAAATTAATTTTAAAATTAACTGAAGATTCTGGACTACTGTAGCTGTGTCACAGCACAGGCACTTGCGAGCACAAAGTCAAGAATATCTTCATATGTCCCTTGATAGCTAAACCAGAGGGACAGGATCTGTGAACAGAGTCCTTGCCTAAGAAAGCCTGAAACAGCCTAGGCAGGATGAACCAAGCCAGGGGAGCAGACCCAATAGAAGCTCCACCTCAACAAGTTTTAAGTTGAAAAAATTATGGCTATAGTCACAAAAATTTTAAGTCTTTTTCTGTTTCTTCCGGCTTGGCCTTTGCCTTGGCTGCTTCTTTGGTCTCTGCACAGCGTTCTTAGGGCTGGCAGAGGGGAGCCTGAGAGTCACTTCATCCTCTGTGTCATCATCCATCCGAGCAGCTCTCCGGCGCTCAAGCACTGCTGGAGTACAGACTGGAGTAGGATCCTGAAGAGATCAGAAAACAGGATTCACTGCAAAGCCATCTGCCAGAAAAAGCTGTCACTGCCCCTGTGGTACCACAAGACACCTCATTCCAGCTCTCCTTCAGAAAATTGTTTACATTTTATAACTAGCTACTTTTGTAGACATTATTTCTTTGGACAGAAGTGTCACCTTCAAAGAAGCGTATGTGAAAGGCAAATGGAAATTAATTCACATTTTTTAACGTGTTGTTACGCACATTTGCTTTCTAAACTTTGTATTTTCTGACTCAAAGCATCATGAAAGTCAAGTGGAATATAATCAGGACAACGGGGCAGGGGGTGAGGGATATATTTGAGACTGGCATACAGAAATGCCACATTCAATTTTACCACAGAGCTGGAACATCCCAGCTTCGTTACCTCAGTAAGGCCTCAGAACTCAGTTGACAGAATGCATTAGTTATCCTGTCTTCCTCACAACCAGCCATGCCCCACTTACCACAAGTAAACCCAGTAATAATAAAAATCCCCAAACAAACACTCACCCCCCCAACTCACAACAATGATGAAACAGAACAGAAATGTTAATGCCTTACAGACTTTTCAGACTGCCAATATCTCAAATCTCAGTCCTGATGACCTGAACTTCCCTTTCATCCTGCTGCTATTTTTACCTGGCATTAAACACCAAATACTGTGCCAGGACAGCACAGGGTAGGAGGGACAGGACAGTATGGGAATGGGGACAGACAGCACTGGAGTGTATCAGCAATTCAACTCCCTTTTTATCAAAACAGGCTGGCATTGAAACACTGTCCAACAGGACTCCATCAAGGAGATCATGTTGTCCCAGGGTAAAGCAGAGGTGAGGGGATGTACCCTGCCTGGCCCAGCACCCTGCACTACCACAGCCTCAAGGGAGTGCTGAACAGCAGAGGCTGACACACTGAGGGACAGGCACTGCTGGTCACAGCGTGCTGAGCAGAAGCCTTTGCTGCTGAATACTCTCACAGCAGAAGGAACCACGAGGATTCTATCACCCTCCCCCGTTCCAGAGTGCAAATGCATCTCAAAGGAGCTACTTCTGGCACAAACATCTCTCAAGGAAACATTATTAAGGTGTTTGTGTGTTGAAATCAGTATTAAGGTGCCAGCTGAAGACTTCAAACGCCCGCCCCAATGTGAATGGTGGCACTGGTCACCACCAGGACTGGTCTGTCTTACCTGGCTGCTCAAAGAAACGTTCAGTTTTGGCTTCTTAGATGTTTTAACTCTTTTTCTCTTTTTACAAAGCGCCTGTGCAGCCTAGGAAGCAAGAGAGATCAGGTGGATCACTACACACTGTGTGAAGATGCAGTCACAGTTCACAGATACAGTTTCATAGTCACAGTTCATAGATTTGCTTTATAAGTACAAAGTCTTTGCTACAGCAAACAGGTTTAAAGAAATAAACTGACTGACACAGAGGTGATCTGGTTTGAACAAAAACACTGAAAGCAATGCAAGAAAACGTGCTACTGTGCATTTTTAAAACATTCCATGTTAAACAGCATTAACTGCTCACAACTCAGGTACTTGACCCAAGCACTCTGCAGAGAAGGAATATGCAAGAGCTGTGGAGGGAAGTTCTGGTCTTGGGACCTGTCTTCAAACCCCCACTCTGCCAAAGCCCTTCTGCTCTTTGGTGAGCTGCCCTCCAGTACTAAACCACAGAGTATCCAACTGCTTGTACCAACAGAAGAAAAGGAACATCTGCCCTTTGCTGTTACTTGTTATTTCTCTACAAGTAAACACACAGGCACATGGAGTGCAGCCCAGCAAGAGCACCATGCTGAATTCCTGCTGCTTCCAAATAGCTCCTAACACAAGTGAGCCTCCCTGGGGCTCCAGCTCTTTTGCCAGTTCCACACAAAACACACGATTTCCACACATCCAGCACAACTCTACAAACACATCTTGCTTAACACACTCACTGAAGCCATGCCCAACTTACAAATCCTGGGAAGTCATACTCCAGCCCCTTGTCAGCCAGCTTCTTCCGCAGCAGCCTCTCCTTCCGCAGCAGGCGCTGGGTCATCCTGGCCTTCTCCAGCAGGGAGCGGACCCGGTTGTAGCGGCGCACGGCCGGCTGCGACGGCTTCCGGAAGATCTTGTCACAGTCCTTGAACAGCTCCTCGTGCACCCTCTCGGGAGGCACGAACTGACCTGCAGCCACACGGGACACGGCTACAGCACGGCTCCCCTCTGCCACGGGCACACACAGCACACACGGGGCAGCCACGGCCGCAGCACCGCGGGGGCGGCGCGGCCACAGAGGGACACGGCACCCGGGGCAGAGGGAGAAACGGGGGGTGGGGATGGATGGGGGATGGAGGGATGGAGGGATGGGGGATGGATGGATGGATGGATGGATGGGTGGGTGGATGGATGGATGGGTGGGTGGATGGGTGGGTGGATGGATGGGTGGATGGATGATGGATGGGTGGGTGGATGGGTGGGGGGATGGGTGGGTGGATGGGTGGATGGGTGGATGGGTGGGTGGGTGGATGGGTGGACGGAACACTTTAAAAGCTTCATGCAGAAAGATCAGACAGAATTGTTTTACAACAACGCCGCTGTTACTATGATATTTTATGAAAAATCCTTTGCTAGGATTTTTCCCTCCTGGGAAGCTGAGGAGTCTCAAGAAAGACATGTAAACAATAACTGTCTGCTGCTGTGGAATGCAACAGGTGCATCTCCCATTGGTCCATGTGGATTGTTTTCACTTGGGGACCAACCACAGCCACCTGTGTCGAGGCTGTGAGCAGTCACAGGATTTGGTTATTCATCCTGTTCTTGTCCTTTGTAGCCTTCTGATCATTCTTTTCTCTCTGTTCTTTTAATATAGTTTTAATATAATATATATCATAATAAACCAACCTTCTGAAAAATAGAGTCAAACCTCTTGTCTCCACACATATTACCAACACACCTCAACTCCTAATCCTTTACAAAGAAAGTGTTACTGTTACCATGACTGAGGAACTCAGTGATTTCATCAGTCTTTTACTCAAAACCTCCTTTTTTCCAATCTTACAGATGATAACTGCAGCAGTTACAAATGCCAAGCAGTGTCCATGTGAAAGGAACTGTCTCCACAGCACACCCAACTCTGTCCTGAGATGTCATCTTACACTGTCACTGAGAGCAACACCAGCCCAGGGAAAAACCAGCAGCAGTGACCAAGAGCCTGCTGGGCACGTTCTTTACACATGATGAACAGCTCAGCCTGTCATCTCACACTGTCACTGAGAGCAACATCAGCCCAGGGAAAAACCAGCACCAAGAGCCTGCTGGGCATGTTCTTTACACATGATGAACAGCTCAGCCCCACAGAAAATACTTCTGGGACAAAACTTCATTAAAAAACCCCTAAGATTCTATGCACAGTTGAAAAAGGTAACTGAAATAGCAAGTTTCCTTTGCACGCTACAGGACTCACACTGCAGCTCGTACTTACACTTCAGCAGTCTCTCAGAAAACAGGTAGTTGTTCATTGTGTCTGCAACAATCTTGGCCACATCATCAGACTCAAACTCCATAAATGCATAGCCTTTGCTGCCTCCAGTCTGCGAGTGACAGGGGAGAAACATCAAACAGTGCTCTGCTACCTGAAGGGCTCTACTGAAGTTATTTTATTCTTCCAAAGTCAAAGGCCATCTCAGATAACCACAAGTAATTTCACAAAGGTCACTAAAATTGTGAAAAACACAATTTAGTCCTAAAAGACAGATTTAGTCCTAAATTGGTATGACATTATTTGTAAAATACACATTTGCACACAAAACAAACTGCTCACAGGTATCTACTAGCTAAAAAAAACCAAAGCTGCCCTGCATTGCTGCTGTTCCATTGTTCCATGCGACAGCAAACCCAGAAGTGAGAAAAAATTAGATTTATCAAACACAACAAGTAAGTTAAAACAGAAGGGTGGCACTTCAGCTGTAGCTCGAACCGGTGCGCTCCGGCACTTCCCACTGGAGGGAATTTACTCACGGAAAAAGGAGCCCAAGGCCGTGCCCAGCGCCGGCCCTGCCGCTCCCCCCGGGGCTCCGAGGGCCGGGGCAGCCCCGGGGCCCGGCCCCGCTCGGGCCCGCAGCGCCGCTCACCTTCTTGCTCCGGGAGAGCCGCAGCCGCGTCACCGTCCCGAACTGCCCGAAGTACTCGCGGAGCTGCGGCTCGCAGAGGCCGCGCGGGAGGTGCCCCACGAACACCACGCCGGGCGTCAGCTCCTCCTGCGGGCACAGACACCGCGCCGTCAGCCGGGCCGAGGGCGGCGCGCCGGCGGCGCGGAAGGCCCCGGGCGGGCGGGAGGCACCATGTCGGTGAGCGAGATGTTCGCGGCGCTGCAGGGAGCGCTCGGCCAGGACCAGGACATCCGAGAGGTGCGGGCGGGACGGGACGGGACGGGACGGGCACGGCGGGGGGCGGGCACGGCCGGGCGGTGGCTCGGCTGACGGCGCGCTGTGCCCGCAGGAGATCCGGAAGGTGGTGCAGGCGCTGGAGCAGACGGCGCGGGAGATCCTGACGCTGCTGCAGGGCGTGCACCAGGGGCCCGGCTTCCAGCACAGTGAGTTCCGCGCTCCCTTCGCCCGGGCTGGCCCGGGAGGAGGAGGGCGCAGCCGGGAGGTTTCAAGCCAGGCAAGGACTAAAGCTGGCGTTCAGCGTTGTGGACACCCTTCTGTCCCTCCCTAGCGTGGTGCTTTTCTGTCTCCATGCAGAGCAGTTTGCTCTTTCCCAGGTGTTCACGTCCCGGGCCGCTGAGCTGGCTCCTGGCTGTCCCTGTAGGTGGCTTGCACACAGGATGTGTTACCATCACTTGTTGGGCTTTTGATCAGTGTTCCCATCTCGTCTCTTCACCCCACACCCCAAAAAGCTGTGGTCCTGAGCACTGAGGGGGTATTGAGGATGGGCTGGGATGGGGGGAACACACTTCAGTCTGGGTTGTACAAAACAGATTCTCTCTGTGTGTATAAAATCTGCTTAACACAGCAAAACGTGGAAAGAATTTGCAAGGGCTGGAGCAGCAGGACCTGCCCTTGATGTCTGCTTGGGTGACAGCAGGAACTGTTCTGCAGCTCTGGAGGTCTGGGTTGGCATCAGCCTGGCTCCAGGCTCCTCAGGTGTGCACAGGATGTTTCTGGGCCAGCCTGTTTCCTCAGGCCACGAGAGCAGCTCTGCAGGCCCGGGTGTCACTTCTGCCCTTTCTGCCCCCTCCTGTCCCAGCTTACTGGGGAAGCTACTGGAATTAACTGAAATGTGTCCCTTAAGAGCTGGGGGTTTTCCAGTCAGTGAATATCTTGGGAGAAGCAGCAGCCATTCTGACTTTGCTGGGAACTCTCGAGAGGAATTTGTGCAAGCCACCCTGTGGAGGGAAGCAGAGCCAGCCTGCCCAGGTGCTGCTTTGCTCCCTTGCAGGGCTGGTGGTTGTTTTCAGCCTGATGAGGGGCTGGGGCTGGAGGCCTGGGCTTGCTCTGCTCTCAGAGAGGGTCTGTGTTCAGCAGTAGCAGCACCACAGGTTTGGGCTGTGCAGCCAGTGCAAGTTCCATCTGCTGGGAAACCCAGCAGTGCTGGGAGCCAGAGCTGCTGGGTGGTTATTTGCACAAGCTCCGTTCTCTAATCTGGGAAAATCCATGGGGAACAACTTCAGAGTCCTTGACAAGCATCTAACTGTAGAGGCCCATGTTCAACTCAGTGTATTTTCACTTGGCTTTTAATTCCTGGAGAGACCCAGTCATAGAACTTGAGGAGTCTGAGAAGAGAATTGGAACAGTTAAAGGGGAAAAAAAGAACAAAACCAACTAAAAAAATGAAAAAAAAACCCAAACAAAACTACAGACTAAAAACCAATCAGACAAAAAACTCAAAGCCTCATAATTATTACAAAAATAATGAGTTCATGCCTAATAGGCCAAGAGTTAACTTGTGATAGCAGACCTGTGAATTTGTCATCAAACTCAGCTCTGTTGATAAAACCATGGACACTTGGGAGTTTGGTGGAGGACAGCTTCCCCTGCCAGCCAGTGGCTTTTAAAATGCCATCTTGGAGAGGCTTCTGGGCTGCCTGTGCCAGATGGAGCTGGAGAGCTGCTCAGGAGGCCGGGCAGGGCAGCGTGTGCTGCATCCTGCTGCTGCCTGCTGCCAGGCAGGGTGACAGGCAGGGTGCCAGCCCGAGAGCCAACTCTGTCCTTGCTCTGCAGCTGCAGAACACAGAGCTGGCACCTGGGGTGGTTTGAATGTGGGGATTGTCTCTGGCAGAATCCAGCACGAAGTGTCCCTTACTCTGTTCCCCCAGGCACACAATGCTCACGTGGCTGAGGCAGCCCTGCAGCTCTCAGTGAGCTTCACTCAGCTCTTTCCTCCTGGCTGCCACATGGGGCACTCCCACATTCTGCTTCCTGAAGCTTTCATTTTTTGCATGTCATTCTCCCTCTCTTTTATTTTTTTTAACAGAAATTACGTGCTATTAACAGAAGTTTTATAATCACACTTGAGTGACTCCTAGTAGGTGTTGTTTGCTAAAAACCATCACACTTCCAGATGTAGCTTTTGTGACTAGCCCTGGCTTCTGCAGGTGAAGGTGCAGGAGGGCCTGTCAGGCTGCTCTTTGTCCTTCCCGGGGCTGTGCCCAGGCTGTGCGAGGGCTGCAGGGAGGCTGTGCCTGGGGCCCTGGGCTCGGCGCTGGGGCTGTAACTCTGTCGGCGAACGGGAGGTGGCAGTGGCTGCTGCAGGAACGAGAGAGCCTTTCTCTGCAGAGCTGTAACACAGCACACTGGGCAGGCTGGAGCCCAGGCTCTGCAAATACACCGTAAAAAGCAGGAAATGCAGCTTCCTGAAGGGGTGTTGCACTTCATGTAACCAAATTCTGCCGGATTAGAAAAAAATAGGATAAGATTTTAATATAGAGAAAGAAAAGTTGTTTTTCCTTTGACTGTGAGAGTTGTCTGGCAGCAGTGCTTGGTGTGTGCTTCCTTTGGGGCCAGCTGCTGCATGCAGTGCTGTTCCATTGCTTGGGATCTGGCTGTTGCTTGGACATCTTGGCTCAAGTTCAAAACAAAGGCGCAGAGCAGATCAGAGAGCCTGGAATTCCAGAGTCTTTCTGCTTTACCTCTATGGCTCATGGTGTCACCAGAAATAATTCTCAGACTGATTCCAAGTGTCAGTAGCCTATCTTGAACAAGAAGGAAGTGTAAATAGCATGGTCTACCCTGGGAAACTCTGTTTACAAACCTTTGCTGCCTGTCAAATATCCATTTCCTGAGTGTATTCATTCCCCAAGTGCTGTGCTGTTTCTTTTTCAGTTCCAAAGAAGTGTCAGAAGGCTCGTGAGCACTTTGGTACAGTGAGGACACAGATGGAGTCTCTGAAGACAAAGTTTCCTGCTGATCAGTATTACAGGTGTGCAGGATCACACACAGCCAGACACAGATATATATGGGAATTGCTTGGGCATTTGGCATCATTGTTTGGAATAATGATGTAAAGGTTGATAGGTTGAATGCTTCTTTCTCTTTGAAAAGTAAATTGTGGTAGACAAGTGTGAGGTTTTTATCAGTATAGATAAAATATGCTTTTGCTCAAGCACTGTAACTTTTCACCAAAAATAGTCAGTATTGATTATTTTTCTAGACATTTTCTTTTAAAAGAGAAAGGGAAGCTTAAGAAGTTGGTGTTCTGCTGGAGCTGCCCTTGTATCTGGGAGCAGGGCATTTGCTGCTCCATTAATTTCAGTTAAGTTGTTTGGTTTGGGGCATTCCTGGAAGCAGAGCTCTAAATCTGTCAGGAGATGGCTGTTTGGTTCTGCAGACACTAAATGAAGTTGTCACCTTTGTGTTCTGTTGCTGCCAGAAGAGGACAGTGCCTGGCAAGAACATTTCAAAGAACAAGAATCTTGTCAGCTCAGATCTGCTGAGGGAAAGCTCTGGCTGTCTGTGGGCAGCACAGCCTGGAAAAGTGTGGGAGCTGAGGAGGTGTGTGAGAGGGGTGAGCAAATGTCAGTGTCTGGTGTGGTAACCTGGGTGTGAGTTCTGGAGTACCAAGGAGATGTCTTGTAGCTGGTGTCATTCTGATAAACCAAAAATACTGCAAAGTGCCTGTGTTAAGGCAGAAAACACAACACACACTGAATGTGTGCTTGTTGCCTAATGCTCCAGTATTAAACATTAATTATTTATACCTTGACCTGGTGTTTCTTCTGCAGGTTTCATGAGCACTGGAGGTTTGTGCTGCAGAGGCTGGTGTTCCTGGCAGCATTTGTAGTCTACCTGGAGTCAGAAACATTAGTGACCCGAGAAGCTGTTGCAGAAATACTGGGGAGTAAGTTAATGTTGTAACTGAAGGGAAAATGCTTGTGACCTTAGACATTGTAGCTTTCAGAGGTACAGGGAAATGGCAGAACTTAATTTCTTCCTGAGAAATCAGTTCCAGAGTTTATCTGGTATTTGATTTCATTATATCAACAAGAAATTCTCAGAGGACGGAAATTGGCAAACCTAATGTTAACAAAAGTACTTTTTCATTAATTTCTTCATCAATGAAGGTCATTCATTCAAAGTAAGTAAATGCACCAAAAGCATAACACAAAGATGAGAGCTTGTTTCTCTAACTTCTTGCTTTTGGTATTTAAAAAGTGTGTGAAACAGATTAAATTCTTTGCCGTAAAAGAATTGTATCTTCACAGAGCAAAAGATTTGAAAAAAGTAAGGAAAATACATCCTGTATATAGATGTAAATCCAGTTACTCTGTTGGATGTACAGTTGAGAATGTACAAGATGCTGAATCAAGAACAGAGAGGCTGTAATTACATCATATACAGGAAAAGGCTTGCTTTTATTATGTAATAGTATTTCATAAATTTGATATTTCAAATTAGCACCAGTAAACAAATGCAATTTAAGGTGGCTGGGTTTGCTCATGCTCAGCTCCACCTCATCACTGCTGTTTTTGTCTCAGTTGAAGCTGATCGAGAACGGGGCTTTCACCTGGACATTGAAGATTATCTTTCTGGTGTATTAACTCTGGCCAGTGAACTGGTAAGAAAGAAATGCATGCATGTATTTCGTTTGAAACTGACCTTGAAAACAGAAGTAATGTGATTTTTAGCTTTCCTGAGTTGTTCTGGCAGTTATGATACACAACACCTTGATCTGAACTTGTAGCAAGAAGCTTCTCTGCATGTTCCTCAGTGTTACTTTTAAGATTTAAACTAGTCATTTAATTGAAAATCCAGAACTGTGCTCAACAAAAAGGTAGAGCTAAGTACAAATAATCTGACTGCCAGGAACACAGGTGCTTCATTGG